CACGCCCTGCTCCCTGGATGTGCCTAGATAAGGGATCCTCCAGCTCTCAGCCTCTGCTCGGACTGTGGAAAGTTTTAACTGTCCCCACCCTGCACTATCTGCAGCTTCACAGGCGTCAGACAGACGCACACTGTTCAGCTGTTTGTCTGTACAGGGTCCCTCGTTCAAGGAGCTGCCAGACACACGGATCTTTGCTCAACAGATGGCTCGGCGTCCAAGCAGCAGCCAAGTTTTGTCCTTAGCTCCTAAGCCTCATAGAGGTTTTGTAAGAAGACTGATATCCCCACACGCAGCTCTGCCAGTGCCCCTCGCTCCCAGCCTACAGCCCCCGCTATCCCAGCCCGGGCCCTTCCTCTCACTCCCAAACCTCTCAACCCTGACCCCAGGCCTGCCATGTTCCGGGGAAGGATGACCCAGCCTGCCCTGCTCCGGGGTTTCTCCTTCACAGGCATTACTACCAGGCTAGCAGGATTGGGATGCCCTAGCCAAGCCAAGCGTCCATGGTGAGCTGCAGGGGCAGGTGTGTTGGGGAGCACGGCAGGCAGAGCCAGCCAGGACCCACTGCCTGAGGGGCAGAGCAGTATCTACAATGGGCAGGGATGGAAAACCAGAAACACACTTACCGGTTTTAGATTTGATTGCCACCTGCTGCTCCTTTAGCCGGGCACCGCGGGGCCCAGGGCCTGCACATGCCACAGCTTGAGCAGGAAGTGTAAGCGAACAACAAGCGCTGCTGCCCCAGTCCCACGTACAGCGACAGGGACTCGCTTTAAGCCGGTTTCTAGAGGGGCTGAGCTTGTGTTCCCGGGAAGGGCTAATGTGACTGAGGCTCAGGGCAGACAGATGGTAGGTGGCTGGGACACTGCAGCTGGATGCCTGTTTGCATCGAATTGGTCAGCATGGAACAGGTGGCAGCTACCCTCAACGTCAGCCGGCAGATCCCAGCACGTGCTGTGGCCAGGCTGCGCTGATGCAGAGAGCAGCATGGGCCGGACCCAGTTTCCATGTGCCGCGGGCTAGGCACTGAGAGCCCAGAACAGCCACGTTCCCCAGGAGAGGCCAGAGTGTGCCAGCCTGCCCAGCTGCAGGGCCAACGTCCCTGCTGTTACTGCCCTCTGGCAGCTGCAGGCACTGGCCCCTCCCCAGACACTGCCCCATTTCAGCCTCGGGCTGGTTTCAGAGCTCGGGCAGCGCTGCCTGGGGCAGGGACTAACTACCCTTTGGGCAGCAGCAGCCCTGGCTAAGGGCAGGCAGCACCGCCAGCCTGGAGTAGCTGGAGCTGTGGGATGCTACCCTTGGACTCAGACTCCGCTGCCTGACTCACCTAGGGAAGATGAGCTTGTTGGCAGGAGCCTGGTAAATCCACTTGGACACGGAGGGCAGTATGGCTGAGTGGTCAGTGCAGGGACCAGGCCCAAGGGCGGCAGGATTCTCCTCATCTCTGCCATGGACTCCCTGCGACGCTGGCCAAGGTGGTCACCTTGGAGGTGAAATGCGAGCGGGGGCCCCTTTGGTGCAGTGATGCACCATCCACAGTGGCTTCCTCCTGCCATCTACCAGCAGCTGGTACGAGACTGGGATCCCAGCTTGGCATAGGCAGTGCTACCCTGCAGGAAACACAGGTGAGCTTGGCAAGAAGCCTGTGGCTGTCCACCTGGGCCTGATAAGAGAGAGACAAGGAGAGTCCCGGCCCAGCTGCAGAGTTGTGGGTCCCAGAGCAGACTTGGGCTGAGGGCAGTTCTCAGGGCAAGGCTGGCCCTTTGAATGCTGCCTGCCAGGTCAGCCCCTGCAACCTGCCTGTGTCTGCCTGCTCCTCCAGCTGCCTCCAGCAGACAAGCAGACCCTGCCCTCCACCTGCTGGGGGCACTGAGGGGAAGTCGAACCTGCCCTGCGACAGAAGGAAGGAGTCAGAGCAGGACACGACTAACAGCCAGTGCAGCATGGTCATGCTGCCTCTTTATTATACAGTATGTAACATGTCAGCAGAACGATGGCATGCACAGCTGTGCCGCACGGTCATGCACAATTTACATGCAGATATGAACAGCCTTTACAGAACAGTCAGCTCCTGGCCTCCCACTGCAATAAGCTAGTTCCAGATATACAGAGTAGTGTGTCTGGGGCCTATGTGCAAGCCAGCAGATAAAACCATCCCTTCCCCTCCTGTTGTCCAGCCAGCTCCTCCCCGCTGGACGCAGAGCTAGTGTCAGCCCTGAGAGAAGCCCCAGGAGGCCAGAGATTCCTTCACTCGGCGTGTTTCCCCACCGAAATCCTGCCAGACCCAGTTTCAGCTCTACATTACACTCCCGTCACAGCTCCCAAAGAGGGAGGCGCCCTCCCAGCTGCGGGGAGGTGGGGAGCAGCCTGCCAGAGCACACACAGCTCGGACAGGTTTTCACCAGCCGCCCCACAGCCAGAGCAGTGTTGAGGAAGGAAACAGGTGGTGGGAAACCCGGGCACATTCGCCATCAAAGCACCAGGTTTGCTCTGCAGGGAGGGCCTTCCACAGGACGCACAAGACAGCCAGAGCAGGAGGAAGAAATGTAACAGGGTGCAGGGAGCAGCAGACTTTCTCCTCTGCAGACCTGGGGAGTCTGACTTTGGCAAGGAAAGAAACTGGTGCCCATGTGCCAGGGGCTGTCCCAAAACCAGGCACTGTACTTCAGCGTAGGATTCACACTGCAGGCCCTAGGAGCAGAACAGCCGGGGGCTGTTGGTGAGGACTGAGGGCAGGGGGAGAACGGGCACCGGCCCTGTGGGCATTAGGTCTTGGGCCCTCCAGTTGACCACCAACGGCAGCTTTATTGTTATGCTGATGGGCTTGGCACCTTTGCCCGCCGGCCACGGTGCCCGTGTCCTTGCTAACCCGGTAAAGTGAGAGACTGGACGTCAGAGCATTTTCAAGGCCTACTGCCAGGCATAGCTTCCCTCTTGGTTTAATCCACCCCCCGCCCCCCTTTGGGCCTGTGAAGCTTCCTTGTGATGGTCCCTATAACCGACCAGCGAGTGAACGCTCACTGCAACCACAAACACTTGGTGCTCAGCCCAGCACACTGTCCCGCACAGGCTCTGGCCTCAGCCCTGCCCCGGGTTCCAGCAGGGCCCTGGAGGGATTTCACACAGCACTCAATACGCACTGGGCACTACTGCACCCCCCTTGAGCGTGGAAAGCGGTCTGTAAAACAACTGAGACAAGCCCGAGGTAGGTCAAACAGCACCGGGAGCCCTGGCGTGAGGCCCTCCTGCTGGGGGATCGACCCACACACCACTGTGCCCACCCTGAGCTGGACAAACCGCCAGGGGAAAGAGGAGAGGGCACCGCAACAGACACAAAGAGGAAAGCCTTGGCTACCACTGGCAGGAGAAGATACTTTGGCAGCAGCAGAGTGCCCGCTGGCACAGCTTGGCACCTACAGCAGCGGGATCAGTCACACCGAGGGACAGGAAAGGCTGCTACACAGCCTCATTTCACATTGCTACACAGCCCAGGATGACAACAGCTATGGACGCGGGTGGCACCTCACATTGGGGGGAGTGGCAGGGAGAGTGCGGGAGATGGAGTTAGGACTCTGGGCCACGTGTTCAACAAAATTAAACAAACAACGATCAGGCGGCATTTGGATTACAGCCCCGGGACCCCCCACCTGGGCGAGGGATTACACCACACCCAGATCCCTCCTTGGGCTCCCTGGCTGTGCCACGCTGCCAGTCCCTGTTGCACCTCCACCAGTGGGCGCGCTAACGGACAGCAGCTTGGCATTTTAATAACTGCACTGTCAGGGGCAGGGGGACACCGGCACCTTGGCTACTCCCCAGCCTCAGCATGCACAGTTCCAGCCAGATCAAGCACTCCGCAACCCAACGCCTCTGCAGGCTGCACCGCAGCGGCCCAGACGAAGGAAGCCAAGAGGCTACACTGCCCGGGCTGGGCCTTGCTGGCCGAGCGCTAGCAGGGCTGGTAACGCTGCCGAGAGAAGCCGTTGGGCGGCTGTGTGTACAAAAGGGAGCCAACAGAGCCATGACTCCCGTGGCCCTTCCATAACGGCAGCTGGCTTCCCCAGGAGCAGTTTCTTCTCCCAGTGTCAGGGCCGGGTCTGCAACGCACCTGGGACAGGAGGCTGGCTTCATGCTGCTGACTGACAGACTCAATCTGGTGGGGGCTGCAAGCAGTTTCCTCACTGGGGCAGGCAGCTGCTGGACACACCCCAGAGAGCCTGTCTCCAGAGAACCTGTACTAGCCACGCCACTGTGCGCCGCAGCCAACAGCCAGGAGAGAAAGGGGCGCTCCCAGGGCAGTGCTCATCCTGAACTTGGCCCCAGGGCTCTGGCAGGCCCTGAGCGGAGATCTGCCGAGGGAACGTCACTGTAGCCCCCTCAGCAGCTACATTCTGAGACTGAATCAAGCAGTAGAGGAACTGTGGCCCCCGGGCTGCAGCATGGCATAGCAACAGACTGGGCAGATCTCGGCAGGCTGACAGGACTCATGCATTGGCTATGTCGTCGTCGGAGGGTGGGCTCCTCTCTCAACCCCCAGCCTAGACTGGGCCCTTCAGAATTCAGCGTGGTCCTGGGGCTTGGCTCAGTGCAGTCTTGCTATACTCTGCGTGCCTTGGGGGTAGTGTACAGGGGAGGCCAGCCAGCGGGTGACCAAAAAAGCAGTTGTGAGTGCAAGGACGTGGGACTCGCTAGATCACATTTGTAACTCGGGCAGACAAGAGGACGTCCTGCTCAGGGTTCTCTTCCAGCAGCTCCAAGCACTGGGAGCGCTGCAGAAACAGGCTTCTGCCCTAAGGAAGAAGTTTGCAAGCCCCTCCATCTACGCTCCTCACTGCCCCAGTGGATGCTCCCTGAGCCCCCGGGCTTCCAGCTCACCCCTCTCGGCCCCTGAGCTCCAAACAGAGGACAGAGAACTTCAAGGCACCAAGATTGCAAGACCAGACAAGCTGCCAATTATAACCGAGGATTCAAATCGACACTCCAGACTAATACAACACACAATTAAACTTACAAAATAAATTCCCCTTAAGAAAAAAAGACCAATTTAACATGCATCATTCTGGTCCTACAAAATAAGGCACCAGAGCTTAAAAATGAACTTCCAATTGTCTTTGATATAAAAGGATTTCCCAAGTGTTAAAGGCAGTTGATGTAAGAGTGCATAACAGGGGGTTGTCTTCACTAGCTTTGGACTGGCCAGCCTCATGCCTGGGCTCCCGTGGCTTTCTGGATCAGGGGGATCTGCAGGATGGGGAGAGAGAAGCTGTTAGGAGTGTGGCAGTGGGACACAGAAGGCGAGGGAGCCAGCACCAGGCTCTCGGGCTGAGACTCTGCAGGGAGAGGGGAAGACATCAAAGACATGTGTTTGAGCTTTGAGACGTGGAGGGTGCATTGAAAGCCCCCTCCCTGTTCCCCCAGCATATCATGGGAAGGGATCTCCCTCCTTCCCTTCCAGGAACTGCAGCCATGACTTGGCCAGGAGCGTAGGGCCACCAACTCTGCATGGTGACCCCCCAGCAAGGATGGTCAGAGCTTCCTCAGTCCGACAACATGCAAAGGGCATGGGGAGGGGTAGGATCAAAGGGGTTTCTAACCGGTGCTGCAGATATGGAACAAACCACAAAGGGAGCTAAGGGCAGGTCCCCTGAAGTGGGAAGAGGCCTCAGCTCCCCATGTGACGGCCCCGCTGGTCCCAGCTCACCTTGGACAGATCGACGCCAGTGAGGGCATGCACAGACGCAGGGATCTCAGCCAGCAGACGGCTCAGCTCGGACGTCACCTTGTTACTGTCCCCACTGAGAATAACAATCTCGTCCACTTTAGCCAGCGGAGCGGCCACCTTAGCAGCGATCTGTGGAGGCGCAGGGGAAGGAGACCAGAATGAACCAGGGACCTTCATCTCCAGCAGGAGGCCAGGAGGGGGCTGCTTGCAGACTTGCTGGCCAGACTTCGAAAAGGTTCAGGCATAAAAGGGCACCTGCAAGCATGTCCCCCTCGGTGCCTGACTGGCAGGAAGGCTCTGAGCACCCGATCTGGCCCAGGACTTAGCCACCAGGCGCTGGCATGGTGCTGTGTGCGATTCACAGGTGCAGCAGAGCCAATGCTCCATTAACTTTTCACTGCCCTTTCCCACGGCCCCCACCCTGCAGAGCGACTGGCTCAGCGACCAGCATCGAGTGGCAAAAAGCCGCTGGAAGCCTTGAGCCTCTCACCTGGGGCAGAGCATCCAGCACCAGAGCCATCTTGGCCGCGTCGCCGTACTGCTGGTAAGCCTCTGCCTTCAGCTTCATTTTCTCTGCGTCTGCTTTCCCGATGGCTTCGATGACAGAGGCCTCTGCCTCGCCAATCTTGCGGATCTTCTCTGCTTCGGCCTGCGCAATGAGAACCTGCTTCACCCTGGAAAGGAAACAGCCCCTGCTTGGAAAGAGCCCAGAGCCCTGCTCCTTAGCAATGCGCTGCTGTGGACAGCGGGGCCCTCGAGAGCCCCCTGGGCCAGCTCAGCATGCTGGGACCCCCATGGCTCCCAATGCAGGGCTCAGCTCAACTCAGCCGTGCGACTCAGGCTCTTAGCATGCTGCCAGCCGAGTCTGGGCACCTGTACCCGCTCGGCCACTCACTTCTCGCCCTCGGCGATCTGCTGCATGCGGTGCGCCTCGGCCTCTGCCGGACGCTTGATGGTGGCGGTCAGCTCCTTGTCCATCCGGATGATCTCTTTCTCCTCGACGTCAATCTGCTTCTTGCGCTGCACCACCTCGATCTCGATCTCCTCCTGGCGGATCTTCTGCTGCTCCCGGGCACCCTGCAGCTCGTAGGCCAGCTGGGCCTCGGCAGTCTGTGCACAGAGCGGGACAGAGCACAGCCTGGACTCCAATGGCTTAGCCCACAAAGCGGTTCGCTCTGTCTGCCCACGCCTAGCTGAGACCGCAGAGGCACGAGGAAGGGGAACCCCTCCTCGGACGCTGGCTATCTTGCTCTAGACAAATCCAGAGCTCAAGCGACTGCCCCAGCAGCAGTGATTAATGGATGGCTGGAGCACAGTGCTCCCTGTTCTCCAATGTCCCCTGATTCCAGACTTGCTCCGAACCTCCCTCCCTCACCCAGTTAGCAAGCTCTAGAGGTGACAGTTTCCCCTTGCAGCAGCTGCTGCCCTCACTTTCCCCAGTGTGGGGAAGGACGGCAGCTCCCTGGGCTATTTTAGGAGTTTGCCATGTCTGCATCTGTAGTGGAAGCAGGAGCTCTGAACCTGGCTCTGAGGAGAGCAGCAGCATTGTTCTTCCCTCACCACTGCAACTGAGACCACAAAGTCACTTTGGGATTTCCAGCATAAAGGCTCTTCGTGCCCACCCTTAACACTGACTGAACACAAAAGCCTGGCCGCTGACCCAGTAACACACTGACACTGCTGGCCGTCACCAGCAACGGAAACAGAAGGACCTTGGCGGAGAGGAGACGGGATGGCCTGGGAACGTCTCAAGAGTGAGTGGCCTCGGCCTGAGAGGGCGATAGTGCCCAAGCGCAAGAGCCTGCAGAGAAGCAGTAACTGCTCTCTTGGGAAATCAAGCAGACGCTCCCTCCCTCTCGGACGGGAATCTGACAGGAGCTGGAGTCGCAGCGAGGTAGCGACGTGGCAGGGCTTGGAGGAGCCCGCGATCTGTCCACTCTGCTCTCCACCAGTCCCAGCTAGCCCCCGATACGGGAGGGGAGGAACGTGCTGTGAGGAGCACTCAAAACTGTGCTGGGCCAGCAACTGCTCAGCTTTGCCCACATTCTCTCCACAGCAGACTGTCCCCATGTGCCAGCCCCTCGTCCCCCCCCTCCAGGAGCTAGTGGTGGACTCTGAAGCACCTGGACACATCAGGGCCAGCGCCTCATCATGCTCCAGTTGGACCCACTTGGGAAACCTCATGCTAAGGCAGCACTTGTCCAACTGGGAAACTGACCCCACCTCTTCTTGCACCTTGTGCCTAACGAACCTGCCAGTTCAGGTGCTCTTAGCATTTCTCTTCCTCCCTTCTGAGGCAGTACACACAGCCCTAAGCATCCATCACATCTGCAGAACTGCCAGGCCTGGGAAACCTAGTTTCTTACTCAAAGGATTTGCCAGTACTGCAACTAACCTGGAATGTAGAGTCTACAAATCTGGTTGACAAGCGACTTCTTCAGCATGTATCGGTGTAAAAAGGGAGAGAAGACGACTAACCACAGACCCCGGAGAAGGGCAGCCGGGAAGAACCCCTGCTACTGATCTCCAGGTCAGAAGTCCAGCCGGGGGAAGCAGACTCTCTCACCTTAATGTTAATCTCCTGGCTGAAGGCGGCTTTCTGCATCTCAAAGGCCCGTTTGGAATCGGCCGTTTTAGTGTCTGACATGAACTTGATGTCCAGCATTTCCCTCTTGCACTCCGACTCCTGCAGGAAGGGATCACACCACACACTCAGTTAGGCGCACGAGGACGTCAGCAGCCTTGGTAAGCAGCTGAGGGACAACACTCGCTTTGGGAGAGTGCCGCTGAACGTACCCGAATGCCAGCGTCTCGCTCAGCCTCTGCCACGCCAATGTCGGCATCTCTCTGAACAACGGCTGTCTGAGTCTTCCCCAGAGAGCTCAGATATTCCACCTTATCGTACACATCCTAGACAGAGGCAGAGACTTCAAAATCATCCAGCACAAGTCATTCCATCCCGGAGCCCACCCCTCCTTCCCAGAGCGCCTAGTGCTCCCGATAACACAGCAGCCACTTCGCTCCAGGATATGCAAACCTGCCTTGCCAGCCTGCCTGAGAACTAGAGAGGTGCCAAAGGGGGAAGGTTACCACACAGAGGAGGATAGAGAAGCTCTCTGTGCAACCCCCTTGTGACTCCTTAGTGGTGCAGTTGGCAGCACACGACGTTTACAGCCGGCCCTGACGGGGCGCTGAATTCCAGCTCTTTGCATACAGAGAACTGTATGTATGGTCCATATTTTATACCAGCCTGTAGCTGCTGTTATGGAAACTCCAGCAAGGCACAGGCAGACTGTAAATCCCACAGAGACCTTTCCAAATCAGTCAGCCTCAAAGAAGTCAGGACCGATAGGTTACTGCCCCATTAGCATTGCCGATTGGCCCAGTGGGTTCCCCTCGTCCAGCTGTGGGGTTCCCTTTGCCCGGCTGTACCTTGATGGTAAAGCTCAGGATCTCGATGCCCATGCGGCCCACATCTGGAGCTGCCACCTCCCGCACCAGCTTGGCAAACTGATCCCGGTCCTGATAGATCTGCTCCACTGTCAGGGTGCCTGGAAAAGGAAACAAAGCCAAAGCGCTATTGCACGGACAATGGGAAAAGCACAACAGGCGGGCGGTAAGCTCGGGAAGTACCCGAGAACAACAGGCCCCATTTATCTCCCGGCTGTTCAAGAGCTGGGAGAAGCGGGGTCAGGTTTGGACGTGACGGCACAACCGTTTGCCCAGGCTTCGCCAGGCCTGCCTACATCTCCATTTCACACCTTCACATGAGGAGGAAGATGCCAGACACTCCGACTACGAAGAGCAGTTGTACTAGCTTGTTTCTCGAGTACCCAGAGGGCAGCAGCCACTGAGAGGTGTACAGACAGAGGGGAAACGCCATTCAAGGCACTGGCTACTGTGACATCAGTGGCAGCGCTGGTTGCACCACACCTAGGATGGATCGCAGATGCCCCTCCAGCGTTTGAAGGACCACGTTCTTAATGTCTTGGACGTTCTTCCCCAAGAACTGCTCACAGGCCACAGCCAGAAGCTCTCTCTCTGTCATTATTTTCACCTGGAGGCAGGAGAAAAAAAACACAGTGAGATAAAGGTCAGTCTAGAGGAAGACAGGCACCCAGCAACAGCAGTAGAAGCAGCACTGCCACCAGACTGTCAGGTCCTTCCAAGCTACAAGCACTCCAAGGGACTTGGCTATTTCATGAACACCAACAGCAAGACTGCAGGAGACACAACTGAATGAGCACTGGCAGTCACTGCTGCTAAGGAAAGGCTGCTGCAGAGCGAGCAGTGATAGAGAGCAGAGACACAGACCTCTCCAAACCCATGACTACAGTTGACCTCTGCAGGTGGATCACTGCAGTTACCTCCATGTCAGTGCCAGCGATAGTAGGTGACTCCACTGGCCAATGCCAGAAGCTGGTCCAGGGCGCACACCGACTGTACCCAATCAAACTGAACAGGTAACAAATATTGCAGAGGTGACCTGACCAAGGCCACAATTACCATGCAGATACCAAAACACATGGGGAAGGGGTATACCCAAGGAGCAATGTACAATCCCATTTCATTACCTTCCTGCTTCTCGCTCTTCCTTCGCTAGAGCTAGCCCGTCCACAAACAGGAATGCCAGAGAACGAGAACAACCCGGACTTGTCCCAGGAGCACTTGGAAATCAAAGTTCCACGTAACGTTCCTAACGAGAAACAGCAGCCGGGGCGGGCGTCAGACACGGAGCCTGCTGGGCTCTGCCCTGCCCACGGCAGGAAGTTTGACCCAGGACGCCCCAATTATCGTGACAAGGTCATTGGTCAGGTCAGTAGCTCTCTTGCAAAGCTGGGAACGGTTCTCTCTCCAGTAACACACAACTCAACTTTCAACTCCCAACAGCCTCTCCATTAAGATCATCAAAGATTCACGTTCCCGCCGGGCTCATCAAAGATGGTTCTCTTGGTATGGGACATGTTCCCTTAAGATAAACCTCGTTTAAATCCAAACCCTACGGAGTACGTTAGCCAGTGGAGACCCTGGGCACACGCTGCAGCTGCTGCCACTCGGTGCTAACAGCCTGTGGCCGGGGAGTTCTGGTCATCTAGCATGTGGCTGCTTTTTGTTAACACAGAGCTGCAGCCCATGGAAAATATAGATCCCAACATGCAATGCTCCATCTTAATCTGAGAGCCCACTGCTGGGACCTGAAGTTTCCATGGGTTGTGTGCCCCAGGGATCTCCTGAGGCCAGCTAGCAAAGGGCACGGGGGTACCCAGCGGTATAGGGATCCCCGGGGGGGGAGGAGGAGGGGGTCACTGAAAGAATGTTGGGTAAGGTCTCTACTGAAAGCCTGTGTCAAATGCTCACAAAAACCACTGAGATGGAGGTAGGAAAAAGACTGAGGAGTTATGTGATATTCTAAGAATGACGTTCTCTAGGCCTGCTAGTTAAAGGCAGTGTGCCTGGAAACAGGCTTCTCCAGACCCAAGGGGGAGCCATCTCTCCCAGGGGACCACTGTGTGTCTTACATCAGAGAGTTATTCGCACACTGAGTCAAATGTTAATGAAGAGCTTGCGGAGATTTCAGAAGGAAAACAACAGGAAGAGGTAAATGCAGGGGGGGGGGGGAGACACTGTTTTCAGGTGAAGATCAAAGGTATCTGGGGGGTGCAGAGAGACGTTCTGCCATCCTTCAGGCAGTGAAGACAAGTTGCCAGAGACTTTGATTTTATGAAGTGTGTGTGGGGGGGGGTAATCTCGGCCATCCTGGCTGAAAACGCTGGGAAAAGGATGTGGAGCAAGCGGTCCTGTAGGAGACAGGGGAATGCCTTGTGAGTTACCTTTACACACTAGCAAGCCGGTTATGATTCTGCTGTATATGTAACCATTTGTTTCCAGTGTAATTACTTTCTATCATTTGAATCTCTGCCCTTCCATAATAAATGTGCTGTGTTCACTACGTGCTATGTGTCAAGGGGAGCGGTGATCCCGGGCGAACACTAGTAAGTGGTGTGTACTGTTCCTTTGGGAGTAGGGACTCAGTGTTCAGTGGATCAGGGGCTGGGCGCTCCCTCTCCGGGCACTCCGGGGATGGTGGGTGCCTACTGCTAACCTGCATCGAGAGCGAGGCCTGGCTGGTGGAGTCAGGGAGCTGATCCACAACCACACAGACAAGGCTTCCTCACGCCAAGGGCAGGTGGCAGCAAGGTGCCTTGCAGCCCCGGGACGCATCACAGGCTGCCACTCACAGAGGACAGCTTGTGCCATCTGCACCTTCTCATGCTACTTAGAGGTGACTCTAGAGCAGCTGGCAAGTTGCTCGGGGCTCCTTGAATTGGCATCTTGTGGTGGAGGGCCTCATTCCTTGACGAGAAACAAAACCCCGCTGGGCCATGTCTCTCAGCAGCGCTGCCACATTCACAGCACTGCGAAGAGGATGGACTCAGCTACCGCTGGCTGAGATTCTGACTCAGAGTCCTCAAACAATTTCAGAGCGCTGCATGAAGCGCTTCCGGGGTGCAGCTGCAGAAGTTCTCGGAGGTGTTTCCCTAGATGTCTCACCCTACCACCTAGGGGAGCAATATTCAGTGCTTCAGCACGCTGCCCAGGCAGAGGGGACAGGCCCAGTGCTGGGAGAGGAAATGACCCTCACATCTAATCATAAATGATCTGGAAAAGGGGGTAAGCAGGGAGGTGGCAAAGTTTGCAGACAGTTCTAAATTACTCAGGATAGTTAAGTCCAAAGCTGACGGTGAAGAGTTACAAAGGGATCTCACTACACTGGGCGACTGGGAAAGAAAATGGCAGATGAAATTCAATGTTCAGAAGTGAAAAGTAATGCACGTTGGAAAACAATCCCAACTGCACGTACAAAATGATGGGGTCTCAATTAGCTGATACCACTCAAGAAAGTGATCTTGGAGTCATAAGAATATGAGAATGGTCCAACCCAATATGGCCAATGGTCCATCTAGACCAGTAACCTGTCTCCCATCAGTGGCCAGTGCTAGATGCTACAGAGGGAATGAACACGACAAGGCAATTATCGAGTGATCCATCCTTTGTTGTCCAGTCCCACTTCTGGCAATCGGAGGTTTAGTGGCACCCGGAGCCTGGGTTGTGTCTCTGACCATCTTGGCTAACAGCCATTGATGGACCTGGCCTCTAGGACTTTATCCAATTCTTTTTTTGAACCAGTTATACTTTTGGCCTTCACAACATCCCCTGGCAACAAGTTCCACTGGGTGACTGTGATTGTGTGAAGAATTACTTCCTTGTGTTTGTTTTACACCCACCACCTATTAATTTCATTGGGTGAACCTGGGTTCTTCTGTTACATGAAGGGGTAAAACAACAATTCCTAATTTACTTTCTCCACATCATTAATGACTGTGCAGACTCTATCGTCCTCCCCCTGGTTATCTCTTTTCTAAATGGATGAGTCCAAGTCTTTTTAATCTCCTCATACAGAAGCTGTTCCATCCCCCTAATAATTTCTGTTGCTCTTCTCTGTACCTTGTTTCTGTACAGAACCACCATTTAGAGCTGAGGACCCTCTAGGAGGTGTCCCACCCCCTAGCAAAGCACAGTGCCCTTGTCAGGATCAGACTGGTTTTTCCAACATGTCTTGGATGGAGCTCACAATACATAAGTGACAGGAAGTTTACAGTCAAAATGCCATTCATAAAACCAAATGGGAGTGTACGATTTGACCCCCACATACCCCCAGTCTGTCACACAGGGAACAGCCATAGCATGTGATTTTTTTCAAATACCATTCAAACAATTAAAGGAATTTTCAGCGGGTGTGAAGTCAAAGTGCCTCTGCAAAAAGAGTCCCATGTTAGCGGATCAATATTGCCACCCCCAGGTCAAACTGGCATTAAATGAGCATAGGCACAAGCCAGCCAGCCGCATGGTTCAGTGTAAAGGTACAGCGCAATCCTACAACACCCAAGGCACAATCCCCATGTGTCCCAAAGCACCCCACTGACACAGAAAGTGATGTGCTACCAAGTGGTAAAGGGTCACTGCCCAGTGACATGCATTTTGAAGTGTCCTTATTTATGTTACAAACACTCTAGAGCATCAAAACAAAGAATCAAACTTTTCCCTAGTAAGATCCTTTGTTTGCTTTCTGCATGCCTTAGTTTGGAGAAGGCAAACAAACTAGTCAGTTCCACTTTAGTTTCTTGTCAGTGTCATTTTCTATCTTCATGCACTAGTACAATACCACAGTGGAATGATGCAACACAAAGGAAAAGAGCTGATTTACTTTAAAAGCCTTTCTATTGGAACTTCATAAAGTTATGGGAATATTTGTCTTATTTTGTAGGTCTCCGCACCCCATGCTTAAAACCCACAGGAGCTACATGTGACCTGAGGAGTCCTTTACAATTATACCCCAACAGTTAAAAACACTTAAAATTAATTCTTGATCCGGAGGGTAGCAACACATTTTTTACTGGGGCTCCTGGTTTTGGCAGCAAAGAGCAATGAGTGCTATGGGAGGTGTAAGAGGTCCGAACTCACCCCTGCGGCGCCTCCTGCTGGTCGTCCAGGGAATTAGCTCACCAGCCTCTGGAGCACCCTCTGCAGGCCAGTGATCCACCTGTCCTCTTCTCTGGCCCCAGTGTCCCTCCCAGGACCCCGGTGCCCCTTGCTCTGGGTGCTGCCCCCTGGCAATACCCACATGCTAGGTCTCCCCTCCCAGGGGAATCCCCACCCACTAACCCCACCTCACCTCAGGATAAGGCCACTGCCAGTCACCAACTAGCCCCCACTCTCTGGGGCAGACTGCAGTATAGGCCACTCATCGTCGGCAAGGTTGGGTTTGGACCTGCTGCCTTGGCCTAGCCCTGGGCTGCCCTCTGCAACCCCCAGTACCCCTTGGCCTATTACCAGGCCGCAGCCTGGGGCTATCCAGGCTGGAGCTCCTCAGCCTTTCCCCAGCCCTGCTCCACTCAGGTACCCTGTCTAGCTCCCTGCAGCCAGACCCTTCTCTCTCTGAAGGCAGAGAGACTCTTTGGGCTCCTGGCTCCGAGCCTCTCTTATACAGGCCAGCTGGGGCCTGATTGGGGCGTCCCAGCTGTGGCTACTTCCCCAATCAGCCCAGTAGCTTTTCCCTTTGCCCCAGCCCTCTGCCAGGGCTGTTTTAAACCCCTCAGGCAGGAGCGGGGTAGCCACCCCGCTACAAGAGGATACAAAATAAATCAAGTGAGCTCTGCATTGGATTTTAAAATGAGACATTCAGCAGCCTGTGCCATAGCAAACGCTCCATCAGTTGGTATCGTAGTCAGCTCTCCATTATACTATTGCCACAGTAAAGCCACTGGCAAGCAGGATTTCCTAGGAAAGAATGCTGCAGAATTAGATCAGAGTGAGGGTGGGCTACTTAGACAGTGGTTATGAAAACAGAAGAGTGTCTTTGGATAGATGAAGCCACAATGTGACGTGCACAACTACCTGCATTTGGTCCTCACTTTAGCCCAATATGCAGGAAATTCTGTGGTTATGTGAACATGTTAGCAGTCAAGTGGAAATGAATGATTTGCTAAGACTGAAATATAAGAACCAACAACAGCCGTTTGCCTTGTGCTAGCACCTTCCATCTGAAGTTCTCAAAGAGTTTTACAGACATTAATGAATTAATTTGCTGCCCCCTGACAGGTAGGTCAGTACTGTTCCAATTTTAGAGAGAGAGCCATATAGTGGTTAAATGACTTGCCAAAAGTCATACAGAAAGCCTGGAAGAGATCTGCTGATCCCCAGTCCCATGTTCTAACCACATGACTATTCTCCCTGAAGCATCAGTGCGGATATAGGTTCTCTTTTGATGACTGAGGCATGCATACAACCATTCTGCTGCGCATGACAGTCCAGGAATGCCAGTGTGCTGATGTTTGTTATAAAGACGACGTTCTGCACCACCACTTTAGAACAAGGCAGTAGACTGACAGACTTTCACGGGTTTAAGGCCATTTGCTACTTACATTTCTAGGAAATGGAAGTGAAATTCACTCAAGTCCCCATTCCCAACAGGTGTGAAACAAGTAGATGATGTTGTCCCTTGCTAGCAGCGTGAACATCTGGCTTTTTGACACCTGGCCACAACACACTGACGTGACCAAAAACACAAAGTAAAACTCCTCAGACTAATTGTTCATGATACAGAAAAAGGACATATCCTTTTCCTTTCACCGTGATGTGACTGTACACACACACTGTTTATACAAGGAACCATGTACAAATCTGCAGTTAAATGCACTTTGAAAACCATTTTTGCATGAACCACTTTGTCTAAGTTTATGTCCAACTGAAAGACTGGCTGTGCTGAGCTGCAAGCAGCCATTTTTATTTTTTTATTTTTTCTCTTAAGAGGCATCTTGCTACCTGAATTGGCAGCAGAACTCAATACCAAAACTTGACATTTCCCTCCGCAAACACTCTCCAGGAAGCAGACCTTGCATGCCAGAAATAAACCCCAAGTCAATTTCTTGGCTGATTTTTAAACTTATGAAAAATAGGAGTATACAATTCAATAGCATTGTAGTGAGCCTTCTGGCACAATCAGAATTCAATTCAAGCATAAGAGACTTGTGTTTTTCTTTTTAAAGAACACTACACACATTATATGCAGGGACTAAGTCTTTCTTTAAACTCTGTAAATCATCATGTAGAATTATGATGCTCTACTAATGCCTATTAATATTAATGCAAAGCAACAGGATTGATGTGATTTCAGAACAAAATGGTTCAGTTCTGGGAAATGATAGATCAAGCTCAAGGGGCACCGTGGTATGTTACAGTTTTTAGAAGTAGGTCATGTCACCAATACACACCTCATATGCTGCATGAATGAATGAGACCGAACATTGGAAAAGAAGCAATGATTTTGTGGAGGATGGGAGAAGTCACATCCCTCCCTCACTCCATGGACATGCTGTCGTATGAACCGACAACAGGGACAGTGTTGTTGTCATACAAGAATTCATTTCAGAGCAGATAACCTCTGTTCCTGGACTACAGCACCCTTGTAAGAGGAAAAAATGAGGAGGTAGGTTAGAGGCATGCATTCCTGAAATGATGTTTGGAGTTACTGTACCTGTGCCACACCTGTGACAGTTAAAGCTACCCCCTCCGCCGTCTCTACGTCCTCGCACCTGGGCTGTAACGTCATTATCTCTAGGGAAATCCTGCCAAAAAACGTAGAACATTTGCACGTTTCCAGGTAACACACTGTCAGCTTTTCCCCTCTACCTCCTGCCCCAGGCTACCTGCCACACTCCTTACAGGTAATGTAAAGGATGCTGTCCAGTGACTCGGTTCATAATTAGAGAGGTCATTTCAGCCAAGGAAGTAAGATTTTCAAATAACGCTTAGACATTTTCTAAACAGAGAAAGGCCTGGAAGCCAGACTGAACAAGATAATGTGACCCCTTCCCTTTTATTGAGCTCACTAGCAGGTTATAGGCTAACCCCCAAAGGCCCCCTATCTGAAAGTTTGGATATTACAAATTGCCCAATAAAAAGGCAGCATATGATCTGTTTGGTCAGTGTCACTAGTTTTAAAAGTACAGTATCAGATTGAGAACGCCCAGCCAGATTTCATCTCTCTCACTGGAGTAGCGACACAGATACCACAAGACCTGTGCAGACCCCATAGGCTCAGACATTCATCAAGAAATACTCTAGGAGAAGAGTCACAAGTACATTTTGAAGACATCCTGGCCTGTAGTCATCCTTCCCAGTCTCACTGTCCAGGCCAGGAGTTGATTTTTGAAATAGCTAATGTCCCGGCAATCAGGATATGAAACCCAGGACTGAGCGCCGCCCCACTTTGGGTGTGTGAGTTTGGTAATTCTAATCCACATGTAGGTTGTTGCTTCAGGGCAGCTCCAGGCATCCAACCAGTCTCCTATTTCCTCAGGGACCCAAAGTTTATGGAAATGGAGAACCTGGGCCCTCTAGGGCCACGACTACTCTTCAGTATCAGCCAAACAGGAACTTTAAGCTATTGGGTTGTATCAATCTGATCCTTTTTCCTCTTCATTCCTTGCTAGTTAGGACCAAAGTACAATGGCAGAGCTGTGTGTGTAGGAGGGTGAGGGTCAGGGATTGGAAGAACAGAGGATGCTGCCTGTCAGGAGTTAGACAGAACCACAGCGCTGCGTGTGTGCCCCAGACCCCTATTTAGATACATAGAATACAAGGGATTGGAATTTTGAACCAGTTATAGGAGAGTAAGCATGACTTGGCTAGCAGCCACGACAAACCAGCTCTGAATCAAATCAAAGAGGCACAGGTCAGAGGGTTTATGTCAGCGAACATCAGTTCACAGGCATGGGATATGAGTAGGCAGCAGTATCCACTGAACAGGCCACTTTACCATTCTGTGAAGTCATTCAAATATACTGCAGTGAGTCTGCGCTCTGCAATCACCCTAATTAAACTGGCATGCAGGCATGGGAGCCGATTACACAGATCCTGCTGTACAGTGAATACAACTGGGTATCACTGCCATGTGAGTTTATAGCTATGACTATATTTAACAGTTAGTACAGGGCTGGAGTTGTGTTAGGGAACACTTAATTGTCCTATCTACGCTACGAACTAGAACAAATATGGTAATGAGTCCTCAATTCTGCTGTAGCGTACATGAGCTCTTAGAGCAGACCAAGATTCAGCCCAGTGGAAGGAATAATAAGCACCTGATAAATAATAACTGATAAATAATAAGCACCTACATCGATGCTTTGGGCGCCGTACAAACATCAGTCAAATGTGAAGCAAAATAAGATGGACTCTTTCCATACTGTGCTTTTAAAACACAACAACATTCAAGATGGGCGTTACCGCCATGTGGGAAATAGAAGGACTTGGTTTAATCTCACAGCACAAGTTTGGGAACAAGTCAATGAGCCAGTCACATTCGGAATTTTCCGCACACAGGCTTTAAATTGAACAACAAAAACCCTACATCACAATTTGCCCCTCCCATCTCAAATAAGCCTGAACTTGGTTTGGTTTGCAATTATTGGATGCTCGTGTTCTCCCATGGCACATGACGAGGACAGTGTCCCCAAAGGAAAGAGGGAATGTCTGCAGCATTATTGAAAGGAGCCATCCTGGCCCTGAATTTGGAATACGTCAGTAGCATCTCTCTACATTACCTACAGAGCTATGGAGTGCACCAGAAGGCAAACACCAGAGAAGGGGGCAAAGAGGAGGGTGTTGAGATCTAGTTGTTGTCCCACTAGAGGAAAAGTTAGTGTTTCTGTTATCCTGCTGCTGCTGTTGCACAAAATGGAAGGGAGAGAAGAAGGTTAGACACAATGTTAGGAAGCTGGTGGGTTATTACCTGTGCAACCCCTGTTACGTACAGTGGGACCCCCTCCGACGTCTCAATATTCTCACAGCGACAGAGGATGGTCATAACCTCCAAAGACAGTCTGAGCAGCGATAAATAAGGGTAGGACAGCAAATACACAAAGCCGTTACCAGAGAATAATAGACACAACGCAAAGGACAGACGGGACTTTCAGGTTTTCATTTTCACCTATCACTTTCCATGTCTCCCGCTGCCCACTCCTGAGTCCCTAACACAGCTGCGCAGATTTCCATTAGACAAACCCCAGTCTCTCTCTGCCTGGGGGAGTGGGAGTTGCCACTGCCTAGTAGCTTTATTTAGATTGTATCAATGCAATATGGTTTGATCTGTAATTCTGGCTGTGAACCATGTATTTAGATATTCTGCAAAACAAAAGCTTCCCGCCACCTGGACATTGCTGCTACAGCTGTTTAGGAATTTTCTGTCAGTGCCCTTTTTGCAAAATCAATTTTTTTCAGGGAATTTTCAATTTTGCCAAAAAAAATTCAATTTCCCACTGGGAACATGAAGTGACAGTCCCCACCTGGAAGGCTCTTGTCAGTTTCATTTTCTGCCTGCCAGGCCTGCCGCCAATGTGCTGAAACATTCCATTCCAGGCCTCCACATTTGAAATGTCAGAATTTCTGTCCACAGAATATTTCCAAGGCTGTTAATTTTTGTCCTGAATTGGGATGAAATGTTTTATGAAACCTCAAAATTTTCTATGGGATGGACATTCTGTTTTCTGACCAGCACTAATTATTACTCCATTTTCCCAGTTCAGAACCACCAGGGCTTCACTCCGACAACTGTGCAATAACTGCAGCTGTTCTGGCTTTACCTTCTGACTGGTCCTCCTGTGGAGATTTTCTAGTTCAAGAGAAGGAAAGTCTCATTCCCTCAGGCAAATGTGAATGAAGGAAGCTTCATTACTTACACTGTGCTTAGAGTTACTCAGGAGGTCATCGGCTCTTGGAAGAAGAATCAAATCCTCCACTCAGGACTTGGCATGCCTGGTAAGGTGCCTCTGAGCTCTCCAGAATGTGTGTAATTAAAGCTACGTCTACATTGCACAGCTGTAAGGTATGCAGTGTAGCCGCTCTGTCGCCAGGAGAGAGCTCTCCTGCCAACAAAATAAAATCACCCCCAACGAGGGGCGGTAGCTTTGTTGGCGGGAGCACTGTTCATCGGGCAGGGGTGTGTTTTTTTCAAACCCTTGACTGACAAAGATTTTACTGATGAAAGTGCAGTGTTGACATAGCCCAGCCTATGCACCTCGTGTAACGAACGACCTGGTAACCCAGACTTTTTTTAAGTAAAAGATTAACATTTATATCGTGGCAACACCTAACGGCCCCATTGTACTAACTAGTGTACAAACATTTACTAAATTACAATCTCTCCCTGCCCTCAAGCCCACCCCACATTTTAACTCTTTAGACAAATCCTCAGGCCCCTTGAATAAGTTCATTCCTTCTGCAAATGATGTGTCAGAGCCTCTCTTTGGGGTTTCTCAAGAAACTCAAAAAGGGAACCATTTAAACACACAGGACAGGAGCCATCTGTTCAAAGGGTAACTCCTCTCAACGCTCATGTGGTGTCAGACTTCTGAAGCGGTGTTGGGGAAAAGCCTGACACCACTGAAAACACACCGTACCAAAAGCATCAGTTCTCCCGTGCTGCACGCCAGAGCTGGGCTTTTCTTCACTCTCCCAACTGACCCGAGTGCTACTAGAAAGTCTGTTAAGACGGCAAGCATTAGTGGACAGCCTTCACATGCAGTCGGAGTGCTATAGTGCCCTGGCACTGTAACAACCTAGTGTGGCAGCCACCACAAGAGAGTCCTGTACAGGTGGTGTGAATCATTTGCAAACAGCATCAGATGAGTGCTTGCTGTGCCCACAAGCGACCTGAGCCAGTGGGTATCCCGAAGCGGACAGCTAAGACAATGTGTCATTTCTATTACGCTGGAGGTGCACAGTAAGGGCAGCAACATGCTAACTACATCTGACAGTGGCAAAACATCGAACGAGAGAACAAGCGAGGAGGCCGGCCAGCCAGCGCAGGTTAACTAGAACCATTTGGCCTTCACTCTTATTGCAAAACCAAAAAGTCTCGTCTTTCTCCTTTTTCCTATTAATTCTTATAAGTGTGAAGGAACCCCACACAGGTCAGTTGGGTGTTACGACTGTTACTTATTGTGACATTCCCATGGACCTGCAGACTAAGCAGTTACATTAGGACAACAGCAGCACTATCACAGCATGTTAGTTCAAAGACTGAAGCAATAATAAACAGCAAGCAAAACGCATGGCTGGGAATGGGGAGAGAAAGGAAATCCCTTGGTTTTAAACAGAAATTTGGGCCCAATCCCAAAGTAACGGTTAGTTTTTGAAACTACGCAGGGCTGCATACCTTTAGGAAAATAGACTTGAGTAAGAGGAGACGGAAATTGCTCCTCACTCCATCCTTCCCCCCTGTATGTTCAGTGCCACCGGCAAATCACCAGCACCCTTATCAAGAAGACTGGCTTGGCGAGAACAGTCAGACATGCGGCTCTGCCAACAGAGCGTCTACACTTACTGACAGACCAACCAAACTGGCCACAAAGGAAAACCAGCCCCCACGACAGAGCACCCCTATTACAGCCTCTTAGCAAAGCAGCAGCTGTGTCCCTGTCACTGCATTTCGCCTCACAGCAAGGGGAACAGCAACTGAAAGTTCTTGAGTTCCCCCAAACTGACTGATTTGAGCCATGTGGAAAGAAAAATAAATTCAGTAACATTCAACTTAGACACGGCCCCTCAATTTGGTTTGATTTTGAGGTATCTGGAAAAAATAAAATAAATGTTAAGAGGGAGGCATGCAGACACACAATATCTGCCTGAAGAATACTTCAGCTGAAAGTAGACTCTCTCTATCATTCGCCATGGTATCTGGGCATCTCTGCGCAAATCATCTACACAGAGAACGCAGCCGGAGCCAGATTGTCCTGAGACTACCAGGTTATGTGGGTCCTAGTGTTAGGATAGAGATATTCAGGCCTGTCTGTAAAGGCCTATACTTTAAGAATTTAGGTGTATTCTTATCACTTAGCTAGTTACAGAGGTATAAAAGAATAAAAAATCACTGTCTGCCGGTGTAAGGGCCTTCTCTTACTGTAACAGTCTGAGGCCTGGTTCTTAGGCTAAGGCCTTCGGCTAAGCAGCAGAGGTCAGCTGCTTAAAGTGTCTGGTCACATCCTCACATTCCAAACTAGTCACATTGAAATAAGGTGCTATTGGGCTGTTAGGAATATCAGGACAGGATTGTATTCCTATCACCTCCAGAGAAAGGGAAGAGCCTAGAAGATGGAAAAGGAAACTTAGTTTGATAGCATCTTGTCTGGCAAGAACTCACTTATCAATAGCTGGGATGTTAAATCCTCATTTCTGTATTGTTCTATCACTGTAGTCTTCACTTCCCTATTGTTTGTCTGTATAATCTCTGTCTGGTTCTGGAATTGTTTCTGTCTGCTGTATAATTTTTGTTGGGTGTACACCAATTAAGGTGGTGGAATATAATTGGTTAAATAACCATGTTACAATGTGTCAGGATTGGTTAGTTAAATTTCAGTAAAATGACCGGTTAAGCTATAGCTAAGCAGAACTCAAGTTTTACTATATAGTCTGCAGTCAATCAGGAAGCAAGGGGGAATGGGAACAGGGTGGGGGAATTGGAATCATGTTTTGCTAAGGGGGGGAAATGGGAACAGGAACACAGGCAAGGCTCTGTGGTATCAGAGCTGGGAAGGGGGACACTAAGGAAGGAAACTGGAATCATGCTTGCTGGAAGTTCACCCCAATAAACATCGAATGGTTTGCACCTTTGGACTTTGGGTATTGTTGCTCTCTGTTCATGCGAGAAGGACCAGGGAAGTGCGAGGGTGAAGGAACAAGCCCCCAACACCTATTTTGAATAGGACGACATTACTAGATGGTACATTTGAAACAGCAGGAAATATTTCCTGAAGTATCCCAAAGACCAGCTGCAGGATGGTCGGAGGCTGAATCCCACAGCTGGATTTAGAGGGCTGTGCAGGTGTTAGCGGCCCTAAAAGGCCATCATTAAATGACTGTAATTAGATCTCATGCTTCAGGACATTCCTCAAGGGCCAAAAAGGATCTTCAGCTCCTTCCCATCACTTCATCTACTACAACACTGCACAACTGTTTAGAGGCATCGTAGGGGGTGGTGGAGCTTTCCTTTGAAACACCACATATTGGCCATGGCTGGAGGCAGGGTACTGGGCTTGACGGGGACCAATGGTTTGAGCTTGTTTGGCCAATTCTATGTTCCTAAAGGTACTGCTGGCAGCCTGAAGGTTTACCTACCCAAAAGACACAAGCAAGAGGAGAGAGGTCTCCTTACCTTTGTGTGTCAGAAATGCACCACCAAGCCCAGGCCCAGCCTCCGAACACATACTGCTTTAGATCAGAGCCACAGCAGCCACCTGCAGCACAAGCAGAAAGCACAAGTAGGTTATAGTTACACACCCAGATCCAGCTCCCCTAGGCGAGCTACAAATAAAAACCTGCTTCCAAATGGCTCTCCACTCAGCGACGAGCCCCAGGAGCGCCCCCAAGGCTGCCGAAAATGCATGCTCAATTCCTGGGAAAGCAAAGGCAGAGAGCAGCTCCCTGACAAACAGCAGCTTCTGGAATACTGGCCTTTCTACCTCCAGAGGCTGAAGAACATGGCTGAGGAAATTATTTCTGCTAGTTTTCCCCAATCTTCCTGAAACCACAGTGATGTACTGACACAACAGGCGACCGATGCAATGGTAGAGGCGAGCTAAATGCATGCTACTCCACAGGACAGAGCACATGAAGAACATCTTTCCTGAAGCCCCCCTATATATTGCTCTCCTCACCATTGAGGTTGCTGTACATTCAGTGCTGACCCAACTACCATATTTGCGAGAGTTAGACTAGGGGTGGGCAAAACATGGCCCGGGGGCTGCATCCAGCCCTTCAGATGTTTTAATCCGGCCCTCGAGCTCCCACCGGGGAGAGGGGTCAGGGTTTGGCCCCACTCCACGCAGCTCCTGGAAGCAGCGGCATGCCCCCCCCCCCCCCGACTCCTACGCGAAGGGGCAGCTAGGGGGCTCCACATACTGCCCCCGCAGCTCCCATTACCCGGGAACCATGGCCAATGGAAGCTGCAGGGGCGGCACCTGCGGATGGGGCAACGCGCAGAGCCGCCTGGCCATGCCTCTGTGTAGGAGGCAAAAGGGGGACATGCCGCTGCTTCCGGGAGCTGCTTGAGGTAAGCGCTGACCGGAGCCTGCACCCCGTCCCACTCCCTGGCTCCTGCACCTCTGCCCCAGCCCTGATCCCTCTCCCACCCTCCAAACCTCTCGGTCCCAGCCCGGAGCACCCTCCTACACCCCCAACCCCACCCCAGAGCCCGCACCCGCAGCCAGAGCCCTCACCCCCCCCAACCCCCTGCCTGGAGCCCCCTCCTGGACCCTGAACTCCTCATTTCTGGCCCCACCCTAAAGCCTGCACCCCCAGCTGGAGCCCTCCCACATACCAACCCCCAATTTCATGAGCATTCATGGCCCGCCATACAATTTCCATACCCAGATGTGGCCCTCGGGCCAAAAAGTTTGCCCACCCCTGAGTTAGACTGTAATGCCTTAGCACTTGTATTACAGCAATGGGTGGTCCTGTAAAAAGCCACATATATTTGCAGTACTAAATAAAAATTAAAAATCCTTTCCAAGATACGGGGGGCAAAGAAATCCTGCCAGGGCCTAGAGTGGGTTAGCTGGATACCGTTTCCTGTACAGAACCACAGATAATACTTTATAGTAAATATGATGTGAACTCCTTCTCTATGTAGAATCAGGAAGCTAGTGCCCTTTTCCCTCTGCTCAAAGCTCTTTTCACAAGGTTATTTTCTGAAGGCAACTTTTCGATATAAATCCTATTAAATGTACTACAAAATGTTTGTTGTTTGCCATATTGAAATCCAACAGGCAGAAGGTGCCTGTGTTTCAAAAGCAGGGTAATTTATTATAACAACCTAGGCTTCTTTTCACAGACACAGACAGTGTTATCTCAAAAGCACCTTATGCTTCAGGCTTCTAAAGCAACACAGTTTAAAAAAACAAGTTGAATTCTTGCAGGGGGAATACCCCAAGCTGTGGACAATACCGGCTGCTTTTGGCTCAGGAATATTAGGACATCCCAGGCTTTGAAGGTACAACACAGACTCAATTGCTTGCAAGTTGCTTAACTTTGTGTTTTTTCCAGTAACTCTTTTTGCCATGCCCAGGTTTAAGACCTGAAACCAGTGAGCTTAAGAGCCACTAGCTTAGATTTTTGTTTTGATCACTACTTGTACATGCATTATTCTCCCACCTCCAAGACAACAGCTCCAGGCCAACTTGCATGACCGCTGGAAGACTATTCCTCCGAATCGGGGGGGGGGGGGGGGGGAGACTTTGGGCCTGGTCTGCACTTAATAATTAGATCAACCCCAGTTACCTCACTTGGGGCTGTGAAAAGTTGTGTATCCTGAGTGCCGCAGTTAGTTTAACCTAACCACCCGTGAAAAGGCAGCTAGGTTAACGAAAGAATTCTTCTGTCGACCTAGCTTTGCGAGAGAGGGATTAGAAACCCCCCTGCTGTGGAAGTAGGGAGTGTCCATGCTGTGCCGCTGTAGGGAAGACAAGCCCTCAGAGAAGCTGATTGCTAGGACAGCTCCTAAAACAGATTCAAAGCAATGTCATCTAATAGCTCTTGGAGGCTAGGAGACTGGCTTGCTCCGTTAATTAGCCAGACTCTCAGAATGTACGCTCTCTGCTGCTTCTTAACCTCATTTTCTGTCTGTTACTTGTATAGCACCATGTTCTGGATAGATTCTGCTTCCCAGAACCGTACTTATCACTGGGCAGAAATGGCAGCATGTGTCCCTTCAAACAGATGTTATTTTCTTTCACAGACAATGCAAAGAAATATCCTACTTAGAATCGTCTCCAAAATGAGCAGCAGCACCCTTGCTAGTTCTCACCAGGAAGCACAGAAAGTTACATTTGTGCACAGATTTGGTGAGGTTTATAAAATCATTCTGAATAGTGTCCAAAGCAGAAAGAAAATATGAAAAGTTATAATAAAGTTCTTCTAGAAAGAGTCAATCTGAATTTACTAACGGGAGTGAATTGCCAGACTGGTTCTTTAATACAAGTTGTACATCTGGGCACAGTAGAACACCGTGGTGGTGGTAAAAGAATGAGCTGCATGAACTAATTGCTTTAAACACTAATTTCCTATTTACAATCTTGCCATCTGCTTCCCAGGTCCCAAAGATCAAGTGAAAAAACAAAAACAAATCACCCATGTGAAAACTTTGCAAATCTGGAAAACAACCCCCAGCACAATGAGATTTGGCAGCGAAACCTCCTATTTCAGCTAGAACATCCCCTCTTTTCTTCAAGTGTGGGTCTCACAGCTACTTGGCTACAATGTACAGACCTCCACTGTGCCTTTTCCAGCACAACAGAATGCAGCCAGCCAGATTCCCAAGGGAGGGAGGATTCATGCCAGACAGCAGTATTCCAGCTTGGAGCCTGCAGAGGGAAGTGCTCCTGCATTAAAGTCAGAAGTGTTCCCAGAGCCAACAGAAACTAGATGGCCTGTTTCATATGAGATTAGATGAACCAAATTAGGGTTTATGATTAGTTCCAGGTATACATACAGAAAATGCCTCCAGCAGATCCAAAAAGGCACTTTGCGCTGCTGCTCTAAGGCCTGGTCCACACTAACCCCCCAATTCGAACTAAGGTACGCAAATTCAGCTACGTTAATAACGTAGCTGAATTCGACATACCTTAGTTCGAACTTACCGCGGTTCAGACGCGGTCCACACGCGGCAGGCAGGCTCCCCGTCCGGTACTCCTCTCGCCGAGCTGGAGTACCGCAGTCGACGGCGAGCACTTCCTGGTTCGACTTATCGCGTCCAGACCAGACGCGATAAGTCGAACCCGGAACTTCGATCCCCAGCCGCCGAACTAGCGGCTGGGTGTAGACCAGCCCTAAGAGTCACATACAAGAAACGACAGAAGCCCATCTGGAGAGAGGCCAGAAACACACAGGGTGGCTACATTACATCTGAAACAAGCCTCCCAGCTGTTGACAGACTTATGCTAGCAAGGCTTGAGCTAGCGAGCTAAAAATAGCACACGCCCAGCTGCAGAGAGACATACCCACTGAGGCCCAAAGGTAGAGGTCCCTTCTGCAGTTTAAACCATTAAACAGATGCGTATTGTCTGCTGTAATCAAACTAGCTTTGATGAGTGAGCGTGACAATGGGAGCCGTCACCACCTACTCTGGCTGCTGCATTTGGGAGCTTAACCATTACAGATGGTAGCAGGTTATATTGGGAGGGTCTCTGGTGATCACACACCCTCTTCCAGTGCCTTCATGGAGACAGGATGGTGACGGGAAGGAGAATCAAAATGAGCTGGGCCCCAGGGGACAAGGAGAAAGGAGGGAATAGGAACCCCCCCCCTTCACCTATATGAAACAACTTCTCTTGCTTTCTTCTTACTCCTCCTCCCCCGCATGGGAAAAGGGATGCCAAATCTCATTGTTCTGTAAGTAGAACAAATGGTGAAAGTCACATAACCCAATCTGTTTATTGTTCAAACATACTGGGCTTGTTAACCAAAATAAACTGAGCCATGCTGGGAAATGTCAAAAAAACACTAACAACAGAGTGCAGAAAACTAGGGAGCTGGTTAGTAATTAAAAGCAATTATTGATGGGGAGGAGAGAAAATGAAACTGGACAACAGATGCATAAAGAAATTCAAGTGCAGTGAAGTCAAGTCTAGGCATAGATCAGTGTCAGAATCTCAGAGTTAAGCCTTGTCTACACACAAGTTGTATCAACTTAACTAAAATTAATTTAAATGGTATGGGTTAGTTAAACCAGTGCAAACTCCTGTTTGGACACTTATTAATCAAAAACTGGTTACACTAGTTTAGCTAGCACCAGTAACAAGCTAAACTGATGACAGTTTTAAACTAATCTAGACAGCATCCACACAGCATTTGCACTCCGTTAACTAAATTGAGTTCAAAACACACCTTTGAATGAACTGGTGCAACTCTGTGTATAGATCAGGCCTTGTTAAAAAAAAAAAAAAAATCCAAAGTATGGCTTGAATTTTACAAGCCATAACAAAGATGTGCAACATTACACCATGAAAATCTCACACTAAATTCGTCCTGGAAACTAAAAGGAAAAGCCCTAAGGCAATGTTAAGCAAACCACACATGCAGAGAAGCTATTCCAACTCTTTTGGAGACTTAACAAGCACTTGACAAAGGAAACCTTGGATTCCATCTGTTGCAAAAGGCTACAGTGCTGCCTCCTGGGAAGGACAGTCTCTCTGAAGAACGCAGATTACCTAGTTCTATGTA